CGTGAGCCTGAGACGGAGAGAGAGGGGAGGGAGATGGGAAGGAGGGAAGAGGGGGGGAAGGGGGATGGGTGGCATGGACAGAGGAGAGGGAGGGAGAGACAGGAGAGAAGAGACAGAGGGGAGAGGAGATATGGGAGGCAACGAGGAGCCCTCAGCTCCTCATCGGGTGTATTTGCTGGGAAAGGGTAGGTTCTCTCAGGCATGGGGGCAGAGAGACGACTGAGAACCTTGGGTCCCCAGTCTGATGGGGGCTGAGGTCCCGGGCCCCCCTGGGGCATTTCAGGCGTTCAGTCACAAGGAACAGATTTTAATTCTGACAAAGGGTCTGGTGACACAGGGGGAAATAACTGGTCAATGAATTTCACCGAGAGGGAGGGAGAAAAAGAAAAACTCGTCAGACCAGTTACCAAGTTACCAGACAGCCAACAGGAGACACCTTCCCGTAATTACGTATTTAACTCTACCCCACCTTCTTCCGGAGGATCCGAGGATCCGGCCAGTTTATTTCTCTAGACAAAAAGGGGGTTAAATTGGTGTCTCCAAGCACCTCCAGGACCTGGGCATTTATTAGAACCATAGGTCTGTGTCTTCACTACCAACCCTCTCTCTGGTGGTGCCATCCTCAGGACGCCCGCGCCCGCACAGCCAACTGGTCTACCTCTCTCTAGCACCTCACGAACCTACCAGAAATGCTTTCTGTTTACCCGGTTTATACCCTAGAGTTATTTCCTTGACTTTCTCTCCAGTTCAGAAAGGACTTTGGGGTTCAGCAACACACCTGGCACAGCACAGCTGTCCACTCTATGTAGGTGGAAACAGCCCACCCTGAACATGCCCAGCAGCCTCTCCCCCCACCTCCCGCCCGCAGCGGAAGGGCCTCCCTCCAGAGCACACCAGGATCCCACCTGCCTTTAACTCGAGAAGCAGCCTCCTTACTCTTGCCCACCAGCGGCCTCTGTGCTCTGCTGTTTCTCCCCTCTAGAAAACCCTTCCCTCCACTGTTTTCCTAAGCATCACTTGCCACCCAAACTAAACCACATCTTTTGGCTCCATTCTAATCAGAAACCCTCTCTCTCCAGGTGTCAATGCCAAAGGCAGCCACCACCAACCCCGGGAGGGCCGGGGGCTTGGAAACACGTCAGCTGTGCATGGCCAATACCTCCAAAATGACAGGTTCATTTAAAAAATTCCAATCATCTCGGTGATGACAAAAGCACAAAGGCAGCAGAATGTCCTCAGTATGATGCTTTCATTCTCCCCTAGTCTTTAAAAACAACTTTGGGGGAAAAAAATAATAAATATAAGCAAAAAGCTCAAACAGCTCATGGTACCAGTTTCTCCTCTTTTATTTCTATTCAATCCCCCCATGCACATGTTAGAATTTTCCATTTTCTGAAGAAACTCCAGTGACATAGGCACAAAGGAATTTAATGTATCCATATTCTGCTGTGTTATCTAGAGAACATCATGATTTCCAGGTGCTTCAGCTCGGAACGTGTCTAGAACCACCGATGGGATGACTCACCTAGTGGGGGGGCCTGCCTTGTGACATCTGCTGGCTGGGCTGTCTTGAATGGATGATTTGCTCCTGCCTCTTAACTCCCCAGCCAAGCCAAGAGCTTCTGAGGGGCAAGAATGGTGTCCCAGACTTTGCCAAGGAGAGGACTGGATTGACCCGATGCTAGGTGGCCCAAATTTCCATGAAACCAACCTCTATGCCCCCCTCAGGTTTACAGGGTGCACAGCCAAGGATAGAGGTCAGATATTTTTTTCTCTGTAAGAGCCACAGAGTCTCTTTCGCAATTACTCCCAGCACGAAAGCAGCCACGGGCAACACGTGAGTGCATGAGGCTGACTGTCCCAGCGAAACTCAAAGCAGAGGAGCTGAAATGTCCATTGCCTACCATTTCACCTCTCAAAAAACATTATTTAGATTTTTTGACCAAATCATCTTAAAATGTAATGGACCATTCAAAAACCACCGGGGTCTGGCATGGGCCCGAGGGCTATGGCCTGCTCCCCTGGGGCTCAGGGTCTTCCATGAGACAAGCCTGAGGTCAAACTATTTTCCAGCAACATCTACTAGAGTAAGTTTCTTAGTGACCACCCAGGCCCCAGTGTCCTCTTCTGTCAAATGGGAGTGACACACCCTCACGGGCTGGGGCAAGGCTTCTGGGAGGCGGCGCTTGTCCGGTTCTCAGCACATAATAAGTGCTCAATAAACGCTGGTGCTGATGAGTGGCTGATGGGGTCACTGTCACGCTACAGGACAGGTGCTGGGACACAGCAAGGACTGCCTCAGCCCTGTTTTCCAGAGAATGTGGTCTCATGGAAGAGGAAGCTGCTACAGGTGGAGAAGGCTGTGGCCTTAATGACCCCTCAAGCAGGGTGTCGTCAAGGGACAGACCTCAGCCCGCTTCCTCCCAGAGGTGGGGTGGAACTTGTAACCTGCCCCACACCCAGACGCACTCAGCCACAGAGTCAGTGTCCACATCTGCCGCTCGTCGGTCTGCCTGGAGGAGGCAGAGCTGCTCCCTCCCTGGGTCTATGAGGGGAAAGGTCGTCACCCCCCACCCCAGCCCACCCTGCCCATGCACACAGCCGTGCCCCCTGCCCATCCCGGGCTCTTGGGGTTTTGCTTCTTCTGGCATCTGTATCCCAAATCCACAGACAAGTTGATGGGATGAAGCGTCTCAAGTCACACACCGTAATTTCCCCCTTTATCTACCATTAACTACTGAGGACCTTCCTTTACTCTGCAAAAGCATCATTGTTTGGGGGGTGAGGGGAGGAGGGACTTGTAGAGACTCTCGCACTGGTTGCTCTGAGGACATCCCAAAGGTGATCCCACACGCTGATGTCCTGGGAGGAATCAAGTCTGCAGAGATGGGAAGCAGAGCAGGAGGTGCCACTGGCTGGGGCGCTGGGGGCGCAAGGGGCGCAGTGGGCACAGGGGGCGCAGGCAGGGAGTTAGTGTTGAGTGGGAGAGAGTTTCTGTTTGGGAAGGTGAGAAAGTTCTGGAGGTGGACTGCAGTGACACTGGACAGCGCTGAGAGCATACATAGTGCCTCTGAGGGTCTCTTAAGATGAAGGTGGTAACTTTTATGTTACGTGTATTTTGACCTTTAACCAACATAAAAGAAAATTTAAAAAAAAAAAAAAAAAAAAAAAAACAGAGCTGAGTTGTAGTCAACACAGGGACACCAGTTCAAAGAACAATCATTTCTTAGCATCTGTTACCGGGAAGGACAAGGGGACCCCGCCACGACAAGCCAGGAGAGTGACATCAATGCTGGACGCCGGGACCCCAGAACCTGGCGGGTGGAGGTCTCAGCCAAACATGCAGAGCTCTGCCCCCCCCCCACCCCGGGGTCGGCCCCCACAGCTGGAAAAACAAGCCCCACTCTCCAGAGCAAGAGATTAAAAAAAAAAAATCTGCTCGAAACATCAGGGACATTTTTACAGATGCTATCCCTCTGGATACTGTGATGAAACCAATATAGGACTAGAGGCACAGAGCAACAACGTCATACAGCCCCAGATTCCCGAGCCTGGACATCTCAAACGAGCACCTAAATTTGGAGAACTCAGCACCGGAACAAGAAAGGGTTGACTGTTTTACCGTTCCCCAGTAGAAGCAGCTTGCCCCCCTGCTCCCCCCACCCCAAACCCAGCACACATGCTTTTATGGTGCCTCAGACTTGGTGCAAATCCCAGCCGTCTTTTATTAAGCCAGGCGGACCTCGAGTCAGCTATGACGGGGCAGATGCCTGCATTGTGAGGCCCTATGTGGTTACTTGGGGTAACGGACATCCCTTTGAATCACACACGCAAATAGACCCCAAACGCCTTGAAAGAATGCTTTTTAAAAATGAAAATCATCAAAATCAAAATAGAAAATATGAGAGAAACATTCATTTTATGAACAGAGAGGGCTCCCGAAGTGTGAAATAAGATAGGAGACACGTGAAGATCCCACTATGCGCCCCACAAACCTTCCAAGCACCTCTGGCAACTGAGCCTTTTCACCCCTGAACAGACACGTCTGAGGACACCACTGGCAGGGGGCAGCAGCCTCCATCTATGAAAACCATACAGAGATTAATATTTCACAAGTCACTAAGGCACTAAACGATAAATGGACAAGGCAGGAGAACAGGAAGAGAAAACCCAAATGATGAACATGTTTTAAAAGGTTCAACGCTGACAGCAACGAGAGACAAAAAAAGAAGCAGGGACAACACACAAGCAGCCCCCAAGGAAAGTACCAAATGCTTCTCAAATAATACTCCATCCTGGCCAGGGCGTCCACAGCCCCGCAGAGCCCCTTGACAATTGCTATCAAGAATCTGGGCCCAGACATTTCACTTCTGGAAAGTAAAACCTAAAGAAACAGACGTTCCATAAAGCTTTGACCCCAAAATGTTCACCCTCCTGTGAAAACTGGAAATAATCAAAATACCCAACCATGGAGAAGTCCAGTAATGAAGGCCCTGCAGAGCCACTAACTGGAAGCAGGCTCAATAAACGGCTCTCAGCAGTGGACACTGCGGGTTAAGGATGCCATCTTGCTTCTCCTCTACACAAGTCTTTTTCCAAAGACTCACCACGAGCAACCTTACTTGTATAACCAGATAAGAAATGCACCTGTTTTTCTACAGGAAATGAATTTGTTTTTCTACAACAAAGTCCATGTCTTCCACTACCATGCCTGGACACAGCAAAAGGACAGTTAAGTCCAGCACCGGAGCTGGCAAAGCCCAGGCCACCCTGGGTTTTGTCAATAAAGCTCTATTGGAAACATGGCCCCGCCCACTCGCTCTGTGATGCTGGTGGCTGCTCTCCTGTCCTATTGGCTGTGTGGCCGCCAAGTCTGCGCTATTAACACTGAATGTGTGCAGGGAGGCCACCCCAGCGCAGTGACCTCCAGCTTCTCACTAATGAACAAGCTTTCGGAACAAGGAGTGAGAACCGGCTTAGAACCCTGCACGCGGGTTTACCTTTCTGGCAATGGCTGTGTGTCCAGCACCGCTCCACGAACTGCCCGTTGATGACGGTGGCAGGGCAGTTGGTCTTGCCCTTCGCAGTGCCTGGGCAGATGTCGCCACACTCCTCGTTGTCGTCTTTGTTGAGCACAATGTAATTATCCTCCACGGAGTCCAGGATGCGGGACCAGTCGATGGTGGCCAGGTAGCAGAGCTCATTGTTCTTCTCTATTCGGACGGAGCCCCGGGTGATGTTCATGAGGTTGTACAGGCCAAGCTCCTTGAGGTGGACCATCTCGAAGACGACCAGCGCGTAGTTGAAGAAGAGGCGCGAGCCCCGGATGACAGTGAGGTTCGGGAACAGGTCCTTCAGGCTCTCCAGCCCATAGACCCGGAAGAGCAGCAGGTAATCAGTGATCATGATGAGTTTGGGGAAACTGAGGTCTCGGAAATCCTCGGGCTTTGTTTTGAACATCAACAGTATCTGCAAATGTCCTTCAATGACAGAGCAGTTTGCCAGCTCGTGAAGTCTCGTGAGGTTGTTCCGAATATCCATGCCGGGACACACTGGGGGAGACAGCAGAAAGCGGGACGGGTGAGAAGCACGACATGGAAGGGGCAGGGAATTGCTGCAGGGACAGGTCCAGGGGTGCGACACACATCCCACCCTCGAAGGGCCCTGTCCGTGGCATCATTCTCTTTTATTCACCCTGAAATCCTTAATCGTTTTTGAGAATGGGGCCCCACGTTTTCACTCGGCACTTGGCTCCATAAATTCTACAGCCAGCCCTGATTAGTGCCATTCTCTGTAAAATGTCTGTGCCTAAGTAATTACTTTCAAAAGGCAAAGAAAATAATTCCTTTGGCAGTACCTATTAGAAGCCTTAAAATCATCACATCAGATATGACGCAATGGAGACAGTGGGATTACAGGGGGTTGAGTCATGCGGCAGGTGCAGCGAGGAGGGGGCACTGCCCGTGAGGAGGCAACACTGGAGAGCTCCAGGAAATGGATTTAGGAGGATAAAGGTGCCCACAGCAGAAATGTGGTGAGGACTGCTGGATGGGTTTTGTCGGGTCTCCCACCTCGGGTCCCCTCTTCCTCCCTCGAGCCCCTTCCAGGCAGTCAGCCAAAGCTCAATTACCTTTACCGGGTGTGGCAAGGCTTTCCCAGAGAGCTGGCACCAACACCCCCACATGCCCATTCTCCCAAAGGTGGACCTTCCACACTCCAACCCCCCCCCCCCCGGGCTCCCTACCATCCTGCACCTCCCTCAGGGTTCTACCCTAAGTCAGCCTGCCACTCCCTACAATGGGACCCAGCAAGGGTGAGTGACATCAGGCAGACACTTTAGCCACGCCCAGCAGTGTGTACACAGGTAAAGTTATCTATTTTGTTGTTGCTTATTTCTCCCAAACGTGTCACAGTCATCTCCAGACTCTGTGCCTCAGCTCCCTAGACTGGTGCAAAGGCATGCTTTATAAGAACTCAGGTAGTCAATACTCTCAGCCTGGTGGTCAGTCTCCCGAGTCTGCACTCTGCTGCCGTGGCTGGAGAGCAGCAGAGACAATGGTGCATCAGTGCACGGAGCTGTGTCCCAATAAAACTTTATTTACAAAAGTAGCCTTAGGGGCCTCCCTGGTGAATGCAAGGGGTTAATTAAGCACAGCACTATGAAGCTGTCCACAGCCTCTGTAGCATGAGTTTGGTTCCCAGCCAGGGAGCTGACCCACATGGCGCAGCAGACCTCTCCTGTCTCGCCTGCTGCTCCCCTCAGCAGTGTATTTCATCAGTCTGCCTCTTCTGTTCCCTGCTCTGTCTCTGGTAAATCCGCTCACCCTCCCGCGCCTCTGGCCTATACCCTGGTTCTTGTATAAATAAAATAAATCTTAAAAAAAAAAAAAAAGTAGCAGTGGACCAGCGTCCTGCCCTCAGGCTGTAGCTTGGCGACACTTGACCTCGTGCAAGGCTGCCCCACAGTATTCCCCATGATGATGGGAATGTTCTAGATTTGCACTGTCCACTCTGGAGACCACCAGCCACATGTGGCTCTCAAGCTCTTGCGAAGTGGCTAAGACTGAGGAACTGAATCTTTCATCTTACTCTGGTTCGTGGTGAGTGGAAACAGGTACACACGGCACGTGGCAGGGGACAGGGTGGCACTAGCCCCAGTGACTGCAAACCTCTGTCTTAGCTCCCCATTTCTAAACCCAGCTCCTCATACTTCAAGTCCCCGGCCAGAGGGGTGGGGAGGAGTCAATACAAAATGGGGGAGCACTGTGGATGGTGGTGGGCCAGGGGTGCTTTGGTGGCAGGAGCACTATGGGAACAATGATGTCAACCAACGTAACCTCAATATAAGTAGATTAATTAAGTAAGTAATTAATTAATCAATGGTACCATTTTAAAAAATCCAGTTCAGATCCAGGCTGCCTCTAGGCAAACTTCTCTCGTCTCCTTTCCTCCATACACCTATTTGGACCTTTATCTTCTCCTGTGCCCCTTACGCTCAAGTTGACATTCACTAGAATCGAACTGTTTAGACAGTTTCTTCTCATCGACACACACACACACCCACATCCCTCAGCATCTGGAAGAGGAGGCTCAGTATACAGCCCCTACTTCTTTTATTCTAAGACATGAAACCAACATCTTGGAGGCAAACAGACTGTGCTAAAGAATAGTAGTAAATCCTCTTAAAAATCCACCCTGAGAACTACCTGCTAACGACTCACAAATTAGGAAAAAACCAGAAAGCAAACAAATGGTGGAAAAGCCATCGGCCTTGTTCCTACATATACGGGCTGAATATCTCTGATGAAAAGCTAGCATCTGAGACATGAAGGAGTGAATGGTAAAACTGTCACTTTCCCGTCCCGCCTGGAATGGCACCATTGCTGCAGGTGACGGGGGTGTGTGGGGTCTGGGGCAGCACTATCCAATAAAATAGAATATCACCCCTATATAGCATCTTAATTTTTCTTTAACAAAGGTGAAAAGGGGAAAAAAGAAACAAGTGAATCAAGTCTATTTTATTTAATCCAGCATATCCCAAAACTTCATTTGAGAACATAAGCAATACTGAAAAAGATACTCTACAGGAATTTTTTCACACTGTGCCTCCAAAACGTGGTTTCACACTTAGGGCATGACTGAGAGGCTAACTTTTCATCAGAAATATTCAGCCTGTAGATGTAGCGCTCGTGAAATGTACCCCTGAAACTTTATCGATGAAACTTGACTAGAAAAGAAATGATTCCAGACATACCAAAGGGTTTTCCAGCAACAGAAAGGAGTCTTCTTTTCTGTACATCTAAAAGAGCTAAGTGAAAAGCTGTACATCTGCACCTAAATGAGTTAAAGTTAAATGAAAGTAAAAGTTCAGTCACCCTGGCCACAATTTGACAAGCCCCCTGGAGACAACAGGTGCTACGCAGGCCAGCACAGGTAACAGGATGCTTCTGGCAAAGCAGAATGTTCTGTCAGACAAGTGCTGGTCCAGACTTTCCTGCCCAGCCAGTGGAATCTGAGAATTTTCATGGCGAGGAGAATGATGGCAGGTCTGCCTCGCCAAGAGTCCCGTCCCCTGGTTTTCTCTCCGAGGGGCACCGACAGGAAGTCTGGGTACACGGGACATTCTTTCCGCTTCCAGTGACGAGTGTCCCCGTTCCTAATCGCAACATTCTTCAAATACACCCTGATGACCTGCTTTGGGGACCACATGCTCCCCTCTGCATTTTTTCCAGGTTAAGCACTACTTCCTCCTAAATCCAGAGGTCCTGTGCCAACAAGGGGTCAGGGGCCTGACCGTCACCTATCCCAGCTTTAGGGAGGACTAGAAACCTGCCCCAGCACCCACGCCTGCCACTGGGAACCCTGGGCCACGTCCTCAGTCTCTGTGCACCTGCTTCCTCACTTGTAATCGGGCATCACGTGGCCCGAGCTCCAAAGCACAGGTAGCCGGGGTCTGGCCACCACATCAGCACTTCACGCTGACGACCATGGAACCCCTTCCTTCAGATTTACTACCTTCAGAAATGACAACTTACTCACTCCGGGTAACCGGACACCGTTAAGGTTCTCTATGGCTGGAAAAGCTGTGGAAGACAGCAGCAGATCTGGGCCCTAACTCAACCTCTGGAGCCAAAGAGTCAGCCTTGTGAAAATGACTACTTTCAATCCATGTCTGCTGGGCACACCAGTGTGCCAGGCACCATGCTGGGTAAGGGAAGTATCAGGATAGATAAGGGAGATGTTACTGCAACAGAGGGGACAGACATGCCGACTGGTTGCTGTGTGACTTCAAGCAAATGACTTCACCTCTTTGGACTTGCACTTGGTGGGTGTCGCCGGGGTGGGAGAGCAGGTGCACAGGTGGCGATGGTAGTAAGGATGAATGTCACGGGGAAGCCATCTCTGAGGAGATCTGAGGGCCTTCAGGAGGCCCCGGAGGCCTGTGCAGACTGTGTGGGGTTGGAGGGTAAGACATGAAACCACCACGGAGAAGGACAAGGGGCAATTTCACAAATGCAGCTCCCTTGGACCTGAGGGGCCTAGTCTGCAGTAGGTTGGCACATGCGCTGTGAATGCGTGGTCATTCAACCCAGCACTGTCCACACAGCCCAGACCTGAGCCAACAGAGTTGTGCAGCAGAGGGGCTGGCTCAGTGGATCATGGCCTGGCTGCACGATGCCACGGGTCTCAAGCCCGGACACATGTGATGTGTGAGATGCTCAGGCTCCCCCAGGCTCCAGATCAGAAGTTCTGGGTGCAGGGCCCAGGAATCTGCATTTTACCACATCCTCCAGGTGATCGGATACATTCTCCAGCAGGGGTTAGAAAACTGCTACAGCCAGATAGTAAATATTTTCCATTTGTGGATGATATAATCTGGGTCTCAACTACTCAGCTCTATCTTTGTAGCACTAAAACCATGACAACTGGCATAGTCGTGCGCCAATAAAACCTTATTTAGAGACACTCAAATTCAAATTTCATCTAATTTTCCTCTGTCGTGAAGTAACGGTAGTTTTTGCTCAACCATTTTAAGATGTAAACACCATTCTCAGCTCAGGAACCACACAAATGCTGGTGTCCTGCCAGATTGGACCCCCTAGTCTGCCAATCTCTGATGGGATGGAATAGTATGCAACTGTGAAAAGGAGCGAGAAAGCTCCTTACAGATGATATGGAAAGCTATCTGGGATATTCTGTTAAGAACAGAGCAAGAAGACCAGACTGTGTGATATACTATCACTTATGTAAAAACGGGGGGTGAGGGGGAGGGAATAGATATACCTATTATCTTCTATAGGCAAACATTGTTTTCCAGGAAGGTAAACACACACACACATAAATTATCACACCGGTTGTTTTCAGTGAGTAGAAATAGGCAGCCAGGGGTCAAGAAGGGAAAAACAATTTCACTACCAGTGCCCCTCACACCTGTGAATTTTGGCTCTGAGACTTGATCTTATAATCAAAAAGTCACCCATAAATTAAATGGGAATAAAAATGAATAAAAAGCAAGGAAGTGAGGCTTGAACAAACCAAGCACTGGCAAGGAGCCATGGGAGATGTGGAAATCAAAGAAAATCCTGGGAAAGATGTAACTGAAGATGCTTCCAATAGCTTCTGTCTGCTTGGGTGGGGATGTCTTACCCCTTGGTGTCCAAACGCCACCTTTTCCCACACGGCTAGCAGATGCAGTTTTGGAAAGTACCTGCCTTGCACGGAGGCACTGGAGAGCCCAAGGCAGGGCTGCTGCATCAACCAGGTGAGGCACAGCAGCAGAAAGCCGAAAGAAAACTCACACACGAAATCAGACCGTAATTCTCACCAGTTTACCTGGGACTCATGTCCAGTCTACATTTTGAAACACAGAACAGCAAATCATGCTCAGCTGGAAATTCTGAAGCTCAAACTCTGAGAGTCACTCCCAGCACCAACAGAACACGGGGGCCCCCTCTGTGAAACTCCAGCCAGGCCCCCTGCCGTGTCCTGGACTTTCCCAGGGGTAACAGATGAAAACAGCCCAAAGGGATACGTGCCAACAAGGGATTGTACATGGGCACCAATAAGCCAAATCCACACATTTCAGACCACGGTGATAGGAAACCACCCACAGACACT